CAGGGGCCCCGGGAGCTCACAGCGTGAGCGGCGACTGCTTGACTGAAAGCACCAGGGGGGTTTCACCCTGCAAGAAGGCTGCGCTCTGTTTCCACCCCCCCACGCCGCTCCTAGCTCCCCCTCTGCAATGGCCTGGCTCCCTGGCGCCATGCACTCCCCAAGGGAGGCTGTCCTGCAAGGGGAGGTTACGCCAGACACCTGTCCCCCTTGCAGTGTGTTTGCGCAGCCCCGCGGCTTCTTGCATTGCAGCTCCCCATACCCTGTAGGAGCAGAGCTCTGGGCGCTCTGTTTCCACCCCCCCACGCCGCTCCTAGCTCCCCCTCTGCAATGGCCTGGCTCCCTGGCGCCATGCACTCCCCAAGGGAGGCTGTCCTGCAAGGGGAGGTTACGCCAGACACCTGTCCCCCTTGCAGTGTGTTTGCGCAGCCCCGCGGCTTCTTGCATTGCAGCTCCCCATACCCTGTAGGAGCAGAGCTCTGGGCCGAACTGGCTGCAGGGGCCCTGGTGAGGTTTGCATTTCTGTGCAACGCCCTTCCCCAATGGACTGCATGGACAAACCCCCTTAAGGCTGTGGGGAATGAGTGTGTGGGGTCCTTTCTTTAACACAATGGAGGTGTCAAACACTGAAGGCACCAGCCCTACTGGCATAAATTATTCAGGTACACTTCTTGGCAACCTAAGGGCCTGGGTCTTGGGGATAGGGGTCTGTCTCACCCTTGATTCCCCCACCCACAGGAAGATGAGCAAGGGTATGTCTACACTGCCACCCTAGTTCGAACTAGGGTGGCTAATGTAGGCATTCGAAGTTGCAAATGAAGCCCGGGATTTAAATATCCCGGGCTTCATTTGCATCTTGCCGGGCGCCGCCATTTTAAAATCCCCGTTAGTGCGGACTCCGTGCCCGCGGCACAGAGTAGGTAGTTCGAATTAGGCTCTCTAATTCGAACTACCGGTACACCTCGTTCGAGAGCCTAATTCGTAGAGAGCCTAATTCGAACTACCTACTCCATGCCGCGTGTAGTTCGAACTAGGGTGGCAGTGTAGACATACCCCAAAGGCCCTGGGTCCACACAAGCTGTGCATGCTCTGAGAGAAAGTACTGTACAGGCCCTCACACTCCATGGTACACCACTGCCCAACATCTTCCAGCAGCTGTTAATTTGTCTCCAAAGCAAAATCAGCCTGTTATTTGCTTCGCTAGCTCTCTCCTTTCCGGCTCCTTTTCTGCCTTCTGTTGGGCCAGAGCTGGAATAGCCAGGGGCTGCAGGCTGAGACTGAGGGGCACCAGCAAAGCTGGGGCGAGGGGCAAGACTGGGATATTGGGACTATGGGTTGGGGTTGAGGGACATCAGCAGAGCTAGTGGGGGAAGCCCAGGGCTGGACGAGCAGGTGGCTCTGAGGCAGGGCTGTCATGGGACACGGGTACAGGTTGCGATTGAGAGGCACCGGCTGGGGTGAGATGGGGGGGAGCGCATGGCTGGGAGGGGGCGGAGGTTGGGTTGGAAGTGAGAGACATCAGCAGAGCTGCAGGGGGAAGGATGAGAGCGGAGATGAAATGCACAGAGAGCAGCTTCCTGTCTGGATTCATGGAATGCATTAAAGACCTCACCCCACCCCCCACCACACACACCAGAGACTCGGACTGGTAATGGATGGGCTAGGAAGCCCCACCTTTCCTTGATGGCATCATTGCAAGGGGGGAGGGGAAGAGTTTATTAAAGGGGTCCTTTGGCTCCAGGCTGCCCAGAGTAGCTGCAGGGCACAGGAAGACTCCATTCCCGCTGCCCATCTTAAAGGGACAGCCTTTCCAATTAGCGCTGGGCATCCATTGCCCCTGGGGCGCCCCTTGCCCCCTAGTATCGAGTCTGCTCTGGGCTGGCGGGCCCTGCCCCTGATGCCCATGCTCTCCTCCGGCATGAACTGCGTGGCTGATTTCTTCACCTATGAGACCACCAAGTCGGTGGTGGTCAAGAGCTGGACCGTTGGTGTGATCAACCGGGTTGTGCAGCTGCTCATCATCTCGTACTTCATCGGGTGAGTGCCCGCCTGGCCAGGGGCCCCTCCCTGGCACCTCCACGGCCAGTCCCACTGTCTCCTGGGCCTTGTTGCCTGGGGGAGCGAGGGGGTGAGACCCAGAGGACCAGGAGCGTTGCTCTCCGCAGGGGTGGGATCTTTAACGAGCCCCACTTCTGGAGCAAGAAGGCTGAGGGATGAGCCAACTTGCCGTTGGCACAGAATCCCTCCCAGGGCCTGTTGGGACCCCGACTCAGCCCTGCATGTGGCTTGCAGAGGGACTGGGGTGCATTGTCATTCGGATGCCCAACAGCAAGGGGCTCCCTGTTGCCCCCTTCCTTGATGCTGTGTGAGTGTGGCTGTGCTGGGAGGCCTCCTCCTTCCTGCCTTTCAGGTGCAGAAACCCAGAGTGAGAGACTGGCTTTGGAGAAGCCTTTGTTGCAGGATTGTACAGACCGTACATCCGACAACATCCGTCCCCACCCCTCAGCTTCCCGGGGGAGAGGGCTAACACTGCTGCTGGATTGGGTGTCAGAGCAGGGCTGCTGTGTGTGCGCTGAAGGGTGGGGGAATGGGACTGAGAGGAGGGGGTTGTCTGAGTGGGGGGGGGAGGCATCGAGCCTGCAGTGCTGTGAGCGGGGGGGACAGAGGGTTGATAGACATGATAGAGCAGAGGGGGGAGGATCTGTGAGGGTGGGGCTCTTCCTCCACAGTCAATGAAGGGAATTAACCTGCATCCCTCCCACAAAAGGGATGCTGGAACACAGACAGTGTGGGGCTGCCAAACCCCCTCCTCTTCCCACACCCCCAGCGACTACCCCTTTCCCTCCTGGTGACATCCATGCAACCCGCTCTCCTTCCCTCCCCTGTCCTGGTGACCCCCTTGGCACTTTCGAAAGTGGGACTTGCACTCCTCAATCACTTAGCTGCTTTGGGCTATTTGATCCTAAAGCCCTTTGATTTCCAGTGCGATTCTGGGCCAGCTTTTCAACAGCTTGTCCCTCCTTTCCAGGCCCCACACCCAGCGATGCAGATGTCCACAGGACCTGGCAGTTGGCCCTGAGTTCTCGTTAGCAATCGCGCAGAACCGGCAGCTGTCACGTGCTTTGGCAATTTGGCTCCCAATCATGTGCTGTTGGGGACTGCAAAAAAAAATCCAACTTGGTACTCTTTTGAAAATCTGCCTCTCAGGCTTCCGAGTCATGGGACATTGGCTCCTCCTGCCCCGCGGCACTTCTGGACAATCTACCAAAGCAGTGAAGGCGGGGTGGGTGTGTGACAGCTGCAAAGAAGACTCCGTGGGGTGCCGCTAGGTGGCACAAGATGTTCAGGAAGGAGAATTGTGTGTGGCGTTTACATCCCAGGTTGGCTCTGAGCCCACTCGGCTCCCTTGATATTTTAAAGGGCCGTTTTAACATTCGCTGCCGCTTTGCAGAACGAAGTGTCATTTCAGTAACTGGGGTTATGCCCCTCCAAAGTGGCATCGACAACCCCAGGCACTGGAAAATGCTGAATCCACCTGCCCCCCAAATCAGGCAACAATCTTATAACATTCCTTTGCCTCTGGTTCCTGAGCCAGTAGGGACATGGCATGGGTATTTTGTTATCACCTTCTTGGTAACCCACGGGGCTACTCACTTGCAATCAGTTTCTGTTGATGAACACTGATGAAGCCACATCTGGAGTATTGCATCCAGTTCTGGGGCCCCTACTACAGAAAGGATGTGGACGCATTCGAGAAAGTCCAGTGGAGGGCAACCAAAATGATTAGGGGGCTGGAACATGTGATTATGACGAGAGGCTGAGGAATTTGGGCTTATGTAGTCTACAGAAGAGAAGAGCGAGGGGGGATTTGATAGCAGCCTTCAACTACCTGAAGGGGGGTTCCAAAGAGGATGGAGAGAGACTGTTCTTGGTGTAGAATAGTAATAGAAATGTAGCCGTGTTAGTCTGGGGTAGCTGAAACAAAAGACAGGACTATGCAGCACTTTAAAGACTAACAAGATGGTTTATTAGATGATCGTTTTTTTCATATGGTTGATGGATTTCCATTCCAAATGGCTAAATGTAGTGCCTTGCATGTAGAATAGTAATAGAGATGTAGCCATGTTAGTCTTTAAAGTACTGCATAGTCCTGTCTTTTGTTCTCAGTGGTGATAGGTGACAGAAGGAGGAGTGATGGTGTCAGGTTGCAGGGGGGTGGTCTAGGTTGGATATTAGGAAAACTATTTCACCAGGAGGATGGTGAAGCACTGGGATGGGTTCCCTAGGGAGGGGGTGGAATCTCCATCCCTAGAGGTTTTAGGTCCCAGGTTGACAAAGCCCTGGCTGGGATGATTGAGTTGGGGTTGGTCCTGCTTTGGACAGGGGGCTGGACTTGATGACTTCCTGAGGTCTCTTCCAGCCCTAGGATTCTATGACCTCCCAGGGGTTCTGCTGGCTGTGCACCAGCAGCTGAACGGGGATGCAATCCCGCAGCAAAGCACGTGGGTACACAGGCCAGCGGGGGAGCAGTGCAGTGTGGAATGGCAGCAGGAAGGTGGTCAGGCACGGGACAGTCCTTTCAAAAAGGGAGCTGCATCCACCCGCACCAGAATTCTGGAAGAACTCAGCTGGAAAGAGCAGGCCCGTTCCCACAACGGATTGAAGACTGCAGCACGAGACAGCGGATCGTTAGAAACTGGGTGGGTGCGTGCGTGGACTCGCTGCAGTGGAGGCAGAAAGAACCCAAAGTGAAGTACAAAAGCATTCCCACTTCAAGCTTTCAGGCTGTCACTCTACCCTGTGATTTCAGGAGCTGGGGCACTAGCAACATCTGGAAAGGACTGCAATGAAATCCAAGAGTTGGGGACAATGCAACGGGACCTTCGCCGCTTCCTCTCACGTCTGAGTCCCAGGTTGCTGAGATGGGGGGTAGTTCCCCCAAACTGCCCCTCTGGGGAGCGGCTAATGTGGGTCTCTGTCCCTCTCTCCTCCCAGCTGGGTGTTTCTCCATGAGAAGGCGTACCAGGTGCGGGACACCTCTATTGAGTCCTCCGTGGTGACCAAGGTCAAGGGCTTCGGCAAATACACCAACCGAGTCATGGACACGGCAGACTACGTTACGCCCCCGCAGGTAATGCGCCCCGGCGGAGGGGCAGCGCTGGGGGAGTGGTTACAAGTAGGCAGGACTGCGGCACAGTGCTCCGGGAGCTAAGGATGGCAAAAAGAGCTGGAGGGACTTGATTATGACTGCTGTTCTTCATGTTACGGTAGTGTCCAGAGCTTCCAGCTAAGATCAGGGCGTGGTCATGCTGGACACCACCCAGACACACAGACAGGCCCTGCCCCAGCTGGGATCAGGGCCCCATGGGGCCAGGCACTGCGCAGACACACACAGAGACAGGCCTGGTCCTGTGGGGTTAATAATGCTTGGTCCAGTCTTGTCTAGTTAGGTCTTTGGGGCAGGGGCGCTCTCTATTAATCTGTGCAGCGCCTGACACAGAGGGTACCCCAGTCTTGATTGACACTACAGTGATGCAATGGTCCCGGCTGTCGGCCTCTAAGCTTGACTTCAAAGAACTGTATCCCTGATACCTGCTTTATTCAATTAAACGACCTGCTGTCAGCCCATATTTGTGCTCCAGAGTTCAGAGAACGCCCCCAGGAGACCTCTCCCAGAATCACGGCAGCCCTGGCTGCCCCTACCTCGAGAGGATGAGGACTCTAGATAAGAACAGGGAGCAATCTGTGGGTGGCATAGCAGAGGACGGGGTTGAAAGGAGAAGGCAGCAGCTTTATGAATATAGAGGGGGAGACACACAGGGACCCATGGACTGGAAACATTTTGTTCCTTGCTCTCATCACAATCATAAAGCAAAATATTTGATCAGTCCTAAGAACAGCGCAAGACATGGTACATTAAAGATACCATTTTCCTGAGTCATCAGCAGCTTTCCTGTGTCCCCTTTAGGAGCTGTGGGCACAAATACATGGGGTTCAGGATAAACAAACCAGCCCGGACATCGCATTGTAGCTATTTCTCCTTCCCCCAGCTTCAAACAGGGACGTACACATGCGGTGCTTGGCAATTCCCAGAGCAGAGTAAATTAAGAAGATGGAGGATTCAGAGCTAGAACTGAGTGAAAATATCTGGAGGGAAATATCCAGTTCAATAGGAACTCAGCGTGATTTTGTTGTTGAATTGGAGGGGGGAAGGGGGGAGAGGGCAAAAACTGATCTCACCACTAGGTCATGCTCTTCCTGGAGAAACCACAAGTGGTCAGAACAAGGCGCTTTCTTCCTTTAGTGGCTGCATGAGGTAAAGCCTGTAATAGCAGAGAGACAAGGTGGATGAGGTAGTATCATTTAACAAACCAACTTCTGCGGGTGGAAGAGCCAAGCTTTCAAGCTGCACAAAGGTTGTCTTTAGGTCGGTTAGCTGAGGGAGGAAGGGCTCATGTTTTTCAGTCGACAGGTCCTCTGGGAGTCAAATGAAATGCTGTTTACACTGCTCATTTCTAATCCCCTGCTTTGGGGTGGTTTTCTCCTTTGTGGCATGTTTTGAAAAAAAACGGGGCACATTTTAATTCAAAATAGCAAAGGGAAAAACAATAGAAAACATTTTGAAATGAAACATTTTTACTTTTGGGGGATGGGGGGGTGGAATTGTTTTTGTAATCCAAATTCACGAGTCATTTTGGATCACTGAAAAAATGCAGTTTTCAATGAAGAATCTGTCTTAAAAAATAAATTCTCCCAGCTCTATGGTCAGGGCCAAGTGCCAGGTTCGAATCAAGAGGCTTTCATTTAAGAGATTTGCTAGCTGAAAAAATTCCATTAACACTCGTTTGATGGAAATGGATTTTTCAGCTAGATGCATTTTTTTAAAAGGTGCCAGCTTTCCTCAGAAAAATTGGATTTTGTCATTGAAAAGACCAAGCATCCAAAACTCAAAAAAAAAAAAATCATTCTTGAATGAATGCATTTCCATGCCTCGTGGGAATTGTAGTTCATTTGCTTCTTGTCCTTGTTGTTCTGTATGGGTTGGTCTCCCTGGCCAGACTACATTTCCCATGAATGGTCAGGAGTTTTCCTAACACACTCACCTTCCCTCACCGAGAGGAGAATGTTGCAATGCATCATAGGAGATGTAGTCCAACTAAGGCTTGGAGAGGAGACAGGGAGCATGCGGTGCCTGAACTACAACTCCCATGAGGACCATAGTGGCTTTCCAAATAGAAATGTTTTTATTTTTGGCTTGTTGCTAACAATTCAAAATTTCCTGTGGAAATAAAGGGCATTCCAGACCTGCTCTTTGTAGGAGAAGGAGCCCATTGACACGAGCAAAGGATCTGGCCCAGAGAGTGTGGATCAGGGCCATGAATCCTTCCCGATAGGATCACAGTTGAGTCCTGGCAGGCTGGTGAGGTTGCCAGTCACAGAGAAGGTCGCTACCATTCAGTCACCCTCATTTGAGTGAGCCCCAGGGAGCTGCAGCAAGGGGCTCTGGCTTCATGCTGAGAGGCAGGGCCCAGCGGGGGCTGCCCAAACCCCTCCTCAGTGTCCCTGCGCCCCAGCCTCACCTACTAACCTGCTGCAACTCTCTCATACTAGGGCTTTATTTCGAAATAACCCCCCTTAGGTCGAATTAATAAGCGGAGCGTCCACACTGCCACGCCCATTAGTTCGAAATAACGGGCCGCTTATTTCAAAATCTGCACTCCTGCTTTCCTGGAGGAATAATGCTAATTTTGAAATGGTTATTTCGAAATGGCGTTAGTGCGCGCGCTCTGGTGTGGCTATTTCGAAAAAACTACTCCCCAGAGTAATTCAAAGGAATTATTCCCCAGTGCTTCCGGGGCTCTAAGTCGACGTAGTGTGTCCACATTAACAGAGCCTGCCTGGACTAATTTTGAGACTCCCCCGTAGTGGGGACACGCTATTTCGATTTTGCTATTTCGAGGGATATTCAATTGATGTTAGTTATTTCGAAATAGTTTCCTAGTGTAGATGTGCTCTGAGAAAGGCAGCCGTGGGCATGCAGGAGGCACTTGTTTCTTGACTTCACACCTGGTGTGAAGGGCGACCCCTGCAGGATGCATAGCGAAGACAGCCTCCACTTGGGATGACTGGCTGCTGGGCTGATTTGGAAGGCGAACTGACCTCCGGCTGTCACTGCCCCACCTTGTGCTTCCATTTTCAAAGGCATCAGGGCCTTTTTAGAAATGGGGGGGGGGGGGCCAACTCCAGAATACTCCTTTCCCTCCCTGCAGCAGAAATCCAGCCGCCTTCTCTTCTGGCGCCACAGCAGCCCCTGGTGGGCAAAAGGTGTAACTGCAGCGCATCCCAGAGAGAGTCTACCGTAAAATCTCGAGTATAATGCGCACCTATGTATAATGCGCACCTGCCTTTTAAACGTCAGAATTCTTGAACTAAACTCTTATCGATAATGCGCACCCCCATTATACTTGCAATTTTATGGTTTATATAGGAAGGAAGGGGCTTGCACCTGCCGCTGCGCCCCTGGGCACAGCCTGAAGGAGCACCGGGCAGACAGCGAGCTAGGGCCACTGCAGCTTGGAGGTGCAGCCAGCTCCTCGCCTTGTCCGGGAGCCTGGCGGGGCTGCGGCCCCCACACCGCGCTGCCGCGGGAAAGTTTCTGTGCAGAGGGGAGGGGGAGTTTGTTGTCCCACAACACGCGCGTTTCTTTTGTTAAAAGAGGGAGGGGCATGCCCCCCGCCCCCGCCACCACCCCAGCTCAGTGCCGACAAGGGTGGAAGTGAATAAAGCGGGAGGGAGCTCAGTGTGTCATTTTGCAGTGCAGCATTCTGCCTGGGGCTGGGCGGACTCAAAAGGCGCTCACGGCACCGTCGCTCAAATTATCCCTGCGCTGAGGTCGACCCTACATTGCTGATTGCCCCGCTGCTGGGCAACACCGGAGTCAGTGAAAGGGCATGCGTGCTTGAGATCCCTGGTTCAATCCCTGCTCATGTCCTGCGGTTAATTGCATCGCTCCTGTTGTGTTTGTGGCATGCAGGCAGAGCTGTTAGATTAAAATATCCTAGCTGGCAGGCAACGGGGTTTTTATTTCTGAGCATTCAGACTCTTAACATACTAGTTCTGAAGGCAGAGAGAGCCAAAGCAGGCTGCTCCCTGGCACAGCTCCCCCTTACTCGAAGCTGGCTCTCTGCAAACTGATGCCAATCGCATGCCAGGCCGGGAAATCCTCAGAGAATTTGAAGGGATCACTCCCCATGTATGCCCCAGCTTCTGACTGTTTCACTCATTCTGTCTCTTCTCCGTGCCTTTCACCCCCTGCCTCCCCATCCCCATGCGCGTCTGGCCCGGTCCCACCTCTGCAGGGGACGTCCGTCTTCGTGATCATCACCAAGCAGATTGTCACGGAGAACCAAGTCCAAGGCTTTTGTCCTGAGGTAAGCAGGTGAGGAGCGAGGGGGAATGGTAGGAGGGCCTGGGACCGGGCAGGGGGCTTGGTCTCCCCCAGCGGAAAGTGAAGCAATTCTCCAAAGAGATTCCCTGGCAGCGCCTGCTGGTGGGTATCCGGGGTCCCCCTTCCCTAATCAGAGCAGGGGCAGGGCAGAAGGAGAGCTCTATGTGCCTCCCTGTGCATCCCCAGGGCTCATTCCCTCCGCCTGGCTCCCCCTTGCTCTCCTTTTCTAGAGCGAAGCCAAGTACAGCTGTGTGTCTGACAGCAAGCAATTCTCCAAAGAGATTCCCTGGCAGCGCCTGCTGGTGGGTATCCGGGGTCCCCCTTCCCTAATCAGAGCAGGGGCAGGGCAGAAGGAGAGCTCTATGTGCCTCCCTGTGCATCCCCAGGGCTCATTCCCTCCGCCTGGCTCCCCCTTGCTCTCCTTTTCTAGAGCGAAGCCAAGTACAGCTGTGTGTCTGACAGCGACTGCCAGAGGCCTGTCCCTACCACCGGCAGGAGCTCCCGGGGCACCACCTAAAGGCCTGGCCGGCTAGCTGGGAGGAGGTTGCTGCTCTCACCTCTGCAGGATCTGGGCTCTGAGGGGGAGGCAGCAGGAAGCGTGTGGGACACAGGAGCAGAGAGGAGGGGACTAAGGTGGGGCTTTTGGTGCTACTAAATGGGGGGAGGCGCTTCCATCCGCAGGGATCCTGACGGGCCGGTGTGTGAACTACAGCAGGAGCCTGCGGACCTGTGAGATCCAGGGCTGGTGCCCAGCCGAGGTGGACACTGTCCAGGCGTAAGCTGGGCTCTCCAGGGCAGACCCCTTTGGGGAGGTGTGGGGAGCCTCTCACATCCTCAGCGCTCAGCATGGGGGGCAGGGAGGGCTCTGCTGCATATGCTCTGCCCTGCAGGGACATGGACATGGGGGGGCACTTTGGTTATTCTGTGCTGCCCAGGGCCCACATAGGGGACAAGCCAGGATGTACTGTGCTGTGGCTCTGCTCTGCCCCACACGGCCCATAATGGGTAGACTGGGGCCATGGTCGTTGGCTACTCTGCCCCCTAGGACCCATAGGGGGCGGGTTGGGGCTGTGGCCAGTGGCATTGCGCTGTAGCTGTGCTCTGCCCCACAGGGCCCATAGGGGGCGGTCTGGGGCTGTGGCCAGTGGCACTGCGCTGTGGCTGTGCTCTGCCCCACAGGGCCCATAGGGGTGTTTGTCTCCTTAGTCACCCTGCGCTCGCCTAGTGCCATCTGCTGTCCCTGCGCCCTGGCCATGCAGCCTGACTGAATTATTCTCAGTCCCAGCAGCTCCTGGCGCTCCCCGGTGGTGCAAGGCCCTGCACTGACGCCCTGCAGCCAAAGGGCTGGAAACCCCAGCAGCAGATAAATAGCCAGGAGTGGAGGGGGGGGATGCAGCCACCCAGGCAGGCCCCAGTCCCCTGCCTGAGTCCCATGCGGGTGCTTCCCCCCATAGGCCCATCATGCTGGAGGCAGAGAATTTCACCCTCTTCATTAAGAACAGCATCCGCTTCCCGCTCTTCGACTTCGAGAAGTGAGTTTTGGGGCGTGGGCCCTGCACACTGGGCAGACCGCACTGCACAATGGCTGCTCCCCCAGGCCCATGGGGGCGGATTGGCCAGGTGGATCTGCCCAATGGCTGTTCTCTGCTTCCGGTGGCCCTAGAGGGTGGAGCGGGGACATGGCCAGGTGGGTGGGGGTTGCGGCCAGGATTCAGGTTGGGGTGAGAAGCTATGGAAGGGGGTTAGGGTTGGGAGTAGGTTCTGGGTTTACGGATAGGGCTGGGGTTCGGCATGGCTTTCCCCACGGGACCCCTGTGCGTTTCCCTCCCTCCTAGAGGTAACCTGCTGCCCAACCTGACGGCCCAGGACATCCGGACGTGCCGCTTCCACCCGGTCACCCAGCCCTTCTGCCCCATCCTGCGCCTGGGCGACATCGTCCACTTCGCCGGCCAGGACTTCGCCAAGCTGGCTTCCACAGTGAGCATTGCCTCCCCCACGCAGCCAGGCCGGGGAGAGTGGCCCATGGGAGCCAGGCCCATCTCTGGGGGTCTGTGGGGACACCATTTGACACATCCGGAAACGGGAAAGCAGGGGATTCCGGGACCTTGGTCAGTCCCTTAGAATGGGGGAAGGGGTCCATCCAGGGACAGGCGTAGTGGCCCCTCTGTTCTGCCGCCTAATGCCCCATCTCTCTGCACAGGGGGGAATTCTGGGGATTAAGATCGGGTGGGTGTGCGACCTGGATCGCTCATGGGACCAGTGCGTGCCGAGCTACGCCTTCACCCGCCTCGACAGCGTCTCCGAGAAGAACAGCGTCTCTCCTGGCTACAACTTCAGGCAAGAGCAGCGTGTGCGCGCGCGCACACACACACACAGGAAAAGCTGCAAGACACCCCTACCCCAGGGCTAACTCACTTCTGGGTCACGCTCCAGGAGCGCATTCCTCCTCTAGCATGGTCATGCAGACCCTTCCAGCTACGCACTGACACAGCACGCACCCCTGACTAGACACACACTGCCCTCCCCAGGCACACTGACACACCAGATACACTGACTGCACACAAAACACACACCGCCTTCCATGTGCACACTGACGACACACCAGATACACACTGCCTTCCATGTACACACTGACATACCAGATACACTCGCTGCACACATAATACACACTGTCTTCCATGTACACACTGACACAGCAGCTACACACACAGCACACACTGCCTTCCATGTATACACTGACACACCAGATACACTCGCTGCACACATAACACACTGCCTTCCACCTACACACTGACACACCAGATACACCCAGCTACACACACAACGCACACTGCCTTCCACATACACACTAACACAACAGATACTCCCACTTATACACACACTACTGTTCAGCAACACACCGAATATGCTCAATTACACATTACTCTCTAGCAGCACCTGGCACAGTATTACCAGTGTGTCTTCTAAGTTACTCCCCTACACCTACATGCTCACACAGTTACTCACACCTCGCCTGCTGCACACACACCTCCCTTCATTCCAGACCCTTTCTTTCACGCACAGCGTGCTACACCCCACTCATGCACAGCCACCCCTCAGTGCACAC